GGCCATGAGGGTGGACTTGGAGGCGGCATCGGGGGTGGATTTGGCGGTGGAATCGGTGGTGGCATCGGCGGCGGTTTTGGAGGTGGAGCTGGAGGTGGCGGTGGCGGCGGCGGTGCTACTGTCACTACCATCACCCAAGCTGTAGGAGTACCAGTGCCCCAACCCTACCCAGTCACTGTCACTCGCCGTGTCCCAGTCCCAGTACCACAGCCTGTGGAGGTTCCAGTGCCACGCCCCGTGCAAGTACCAGTGCCAGTCCCTCGTCCCGTTGTCGTTCCCAGACCAGTCCCTGTTACTGTAACTCGTCCAGTACCAGTACCAGTGCAAGTCCCTGTCCAAGTACCAGTACCACAGCCCGTTGGAGTGCCAGTACCCCAACCCTATCCAGTCACTGTACCACAACCCGTCCCTGTTAGAGTACCACAAACCATCGTAGTACCAGTCGCTCAACCTGTCGTTGTTGGAGGAGGCGGCGGTGGAGCCGGCGGCGGATTTGGTGGAGGAATCGGTGGTGGATTTGGAGGTGGAATTGGAGGAGGAATCGGCGGAGGATATGGCGGAGGCCATAGTCTTGGAGGAGGAATCGGCGGAGGATATGGCGGAGGCCATAGTCTTGGAGGAGGATTAGGCGGTGGACATGGTTCCATTAGTATTGGTAGCAGTTACGGCGGCGGTTACGGAGGACATTCTATCTCTTTGGGATCGGGAAGTTTCGGAGGACATGGAAGTTCTTTCGGAAGCGGATCCCTAGGAGGACATGGTTCTCTCGGAGGTGGGTCTTTGGGAGGACACGGAGGTGCCACGAGTTATTCTAGTATCTCTATTGGAGGAAGCCACAAATACTAAGTAAAGACTATCCATTCACCTCATTTCATCAACTGTCAAATTTCATAGCGATTCATCCTATTGTGATACCATAAGTATTTTTGTTGATTTTGATGGTATTACCATCTGTGTATATATTTTACATGCACTTAAATAAACTTCTATTTTACTACACCTGGTTTATTTTAACAATCATAAATGTATTTACCCAAATAATTAAATAATTGATTATAAATTACTCAACAACAAAAATTAAAACACAACATTCAGGTAGGGTCAAGTGGGGCAAATGCGAGGGTCATAACTAAATTTGTGAATTCAATTTTATACGGCTCATTTACTATTTAATTATAAAGAATTTTTATTTATATAATTTATTACTCATATATTAGGCTCATGATAGGCTCTTCTTTTAAGTACATATTTAGTATAATAAAAAAAAAATTCAAAAAAATAAGGGTCTAAATGAAGTACCATGTCATTATTACATTTACCCCATGTAACGGGGTTTATTCTAGTAATCCAGTCGGTGAAATAATGCGTCCGATTTACACTCAACTCGTCGAATAAATAACTATTGAACTTGTTTAAAACACTATGCAGCACAAAATACAGTAGTACGTAACTAATTGCGGCACTGTCCACACTTGGTCGTTCCGATCAGAGAAACTTGTGTCAAATAAATTACTATAATTATGTTATTATGTAAATTATGGCAAGTATTTTTATACCATTTGTTTATCACTTTATATTATTCTAGTGACATATTCATGCTTACGCACGTACATTTTCATTATCTGATTTAAAAAGAGTAAACACAAACCAAAAGCACTTATTTGAACATTAGCATATTTTTCCTATGAGAAAAATAAAAAGGTGTAGTTAACAATCCACCTACTTTTTTAATAGATTAGGTAGTTATAATAATATTATGTAATAAATTACAATGATATGTAAAAATTATCATAAAAACATCGATATAATTAAATAATTAAATAAATACGTTATTTCACAAATGACTTAAGGATTTTTAAACAGCAGTTAATAAAGACGATTAAGTAAGTAAATACTTTCGTCAATGTACAAAACGCAACAAGTAAAAAAATTGTTAACAAAAAGTTCATTCCAATAACAATAATTAGTAACAAGAATCACATTTTTCAAATTGTATCGAATATTTTTCCGCGGAAATTTACCGGAAGGAAGAGTCAGCGAAAGTTAAAATGATTTTAGTAATCAGCATGTTCAAAAAAAATTCATATAAATAAACAAAACGGTTACTGACAGATTGCTACACATCTAAGATAATAAAATTAGACTTTCAACAGTGAAAATGAAGAATTTTAATTATGCTTCTAAATTAAAATATTTAACAGGACACGAAAAATAAGTACATTGTTATATAAACACATTTTTTGTGTAGGTAAAAGACAGATGTTTAACCTGTTTCAAGCTTAAAAAATTGACCAACGTTTCATATTTTTTTAGTTTCTAAATATCGGGTGATTCACAAATATGTGGCATAATTTTAACCACAAATACCCCTCTAAGTGAGAGCATAGTATTTATTGACACACCTCAAAAAAACTTTTTGAGTTCTACTAGGATTTTTTTTTTGACTTTTTGAATTTGTCTAACGATTTGGGTATTAAAAGATTAAATTAAAACATAATGTTTATTTCTTTTTGAATTGCTGGTGGGGGTGGTGTGAATCAAGAACACGACATGACCTCGGTCTGTTTTTGATATTTGACAGCTTCTGACATTTTGGTACTAAAGTAAAAATTCAATAAGCTTCTCCCTGGCATTAGGACTTTTATAGTATAAATATAAATATTAGGGTATAAATATTAGTCTCCAAACAGTTTTTCTCATTAAAAATGAAATTACAAATGACCTACTAAGACACACTTTTGACGTACGTCACTAGCTCTGCGTTACCTTAATCGTATTTGTTAAAGTGAGATAAATAGCGTGACCGACCTTACGCAAATACGATGCGAGAAAGCAACAGGACTGTTTACAAATGTTAAAAAGAGATAACTATGTGTTACGTCTTTCGAATTATTAATTGTTGTACACGCATATAATAAAAAACGAACTTTAGATTTTGTAATTTGAAATTATTATGTATCATGTTTCTATACCTCGTGCCATTTTTAACGCTATTCTGTCACTTTTGATAATCTTTTTTCTATATGAAGTAGTCTTTTGACTACGCGAAATTTGTCCGAAGGTCCAATTGTAAAACATATTCTTCTTTTACACAGAAATTAAATGTAGTACGAGGTGTACCTACTTATTTTAAAATTATTAGTTTTTTTACACAAAGTACTTATTTTAAAACATATTAAAAACATACGACTCTTGTACCTTGTCTCAAACAATAAGTAAATCTTTCCAACTGACAATAAAAAAAAAACAGAAAAATGCGCATTCTTGCTCATCGCATATCCGTTAATTAATTATGCCCAAACTAAATTGAGTAATAAAAATTTTAATAATTATCATTTTTGAAATTATTTGTTCGTCCATGTGTTACCAATGAATGTAGATCTAAGTTCTTAATGATTTTAAATGAAAGCCCCCCCAAATATTTTTGATATAAATAGCAACTTTGCCATATCCAAAGTATCATTTTGTGTTGGTTCCATCATACATCATCATGAAAACCTTTTCGGTGAGTTATTCCAGAGAAGAACACTAATTAAACCCATTTCTTACAGGTAGCCGTCTTCTTGTTGGCAGTTACTTGCCTTTCCCAAGGCAGTAAGGCCGACTCTGCCGAAACCAAAACTGTTGAAAAGCGTGGCATTTTCAGCGGTGTTTACAAATCTCTTGGTGGTTACGGCTACGGAGGCGGCTATGGATCAGGTTACAGCGGAATTGGAATCGGATCGGGCGGAATTGGTGGCGCTGGACTTGGAATTGGTACTATTGGTAGTGCCGGATTGGGAATTAGTTCTGGAATCAAACACGGCGCTACTGTTTCCACCATCAGTCAAGCAGTTCCAGTACCGGTACCACAACCCTATCCAGTCACTGTCACGCGCCCTGTACCAGTACCAGTAGCACAACCCGTCGCTGTTCCAGTACCACGTCCAGTGCAAGTACCAGTGCCAGTACCACGTCCCGTTGTTGTTCCTAGACCAGTACCATTCACTGTTTCTCGCCCTGTACCAGTACCAATCAGCGTACCAATTCAAGTACCTGTGGCCCAACCTGTTGGAGTTCCAGTTCCCCAACCATACCCCGTCACTGTGCCCCAACCCGTTCCAGTCAGAGTGCCACAAACCGTTGTTATTCCAGTGGCTCAACCTGTACTTGCTGGAGGCAGCGGATTCTTTGGAGGTGCTGGATTGGGCGGAATTGGAGGATTTGGAGGCATTGGAAGTTCGATCGGGATTTCATCCGGAAGTTATGGGGGATATGGTTATGGAACCAGCATTTATGATCATCATCACCTTAAATACTAGACTTGATAGAAATTGGCTATGAATAATAATTAATATAAAAAAGAAACGTCTTTTATTATAAACTATACAGGATGTTCCATTTTTATTGTTACAAATTTAAACAGGTGATAGGATATTCAATTCTAAGACAAAAGTTTCCTATAAACATGTATCGAAAAATGCTTGGTAAGGGAGCTACACCCCCAGAAAGGGGGCGAATAGGTTTTTGCAAATATTTCCGAATCCAGTTAAAATAAAATTACAAAATTTTGGTACAGATGATAAACTTTATACACCTAAACGAATTCAGACATCAAATGTCGAAATTTTTAATCAGGGGCGTCCGAAACTGGTGAGGTTTAGAGTAAAAAAATACCCTATTTATTTTGGCTTTAGTTTCTTTAGTTATGCATGGACCAAAATATTGGTCACTTTGAACAACTCCTTTAGATTTAGGCAAATTCATTTAATTAATATTATTATTGCTACTGTAATGAAATGTTAATTAGTTGAGGTTGATTAAAAAATATGAATTTCTTCTGTAAATTCTGATTTATTTGAATGTTGTATTGGTGTGTAACAAATTTTAAATTAATTTTATTCAAAAACAATAAGTCGTATCGACACAAGAGAGACCTCTCTGTGATAAACTATCGAACTTAAGATTTTGTTGCTCAAAGTACCAAGAAACTAAGGCCAAAATAAATAGGGTATTTTTTTACCTTAAACTCCCCCAGTTTCGTACGCCTCTGATTACAAAATTGGACATTTAATGTTTGAATTCGTTTAGGTGTATAAAGGTTATTATCTGTACCAAATTTTGTAATTTTATCTTAAATGGTTTCTGAAACATTAGCAAAAAGATAAACCCCCTTCCAGGGGGTGTAGCTCCCTTACCAAGCATTTGTCGATACATGTTTATAGGACACTTTTGTCTTAGAATTGAATATCCTATCGCCTGTTTAAATTTGTAACAATAAAAACGGAACACCCTGTATAAACAAAAACATTTTTCTTTAAAGTAATAAACTCAAAAGTTTAATAAAAAGTTGGACTGTATTTTACTTGACAAATCTATAACGTTTTCAATATCTTTAAAAAAATATTCACTCTTGTAGTGAGTTTAGTTACATATTTTTTATTTAACTTAAATTGAGTTGAATCAAAGGCTACTAGGACCAAAAATTTCAAGAATTAAACCACCTCTAACTGAAAAACAAATTGACAAAAATATTTTTTTCTTTGAGATTTAAATACGGTGATTTTTTCTCTTTCCGCAAACGTTTTAAAAAGTAGGGAGTGCCATTTAAAATGAAACTTAAAATGTAAATAATGTTGGTTTTGAACTTCCCCCTCGCAATCCTAATCGACCTGTTTTTGCTTGAAAATATATTTACTCAATGTCAGAAGTTATTGAGACTGTCTCCTTTTGAAATGAAAGCCCTGTATAATTATATAAATAGTAAATAATTATGCAAAGCATCTCGTTAAATACAATTATTTTTACATTCCTTAACTTCTTAATTATGGTTCTTATAAATACTTTTTTTATAAATTCTTGATTTTTTGTCTAGTTTTAAGTTTCCTTCTTTCTTCGTCATATATCTCTTCCTCCGTCCCTAACAAAAAATAAGTTTTTCAACTCTAATTTCAGAAAGGAAAGTTAGTCAGAGGGCAAAGCCCCGCCGTGCAAAAAAATACTTGTCTAAATTACAGAGAAGTAAAAATTTTACCTCCTCCATAAAAAAGTTTGAAGTTTTTCTTGCTTGTTCGTAGAAAAAGATTATACCAGGTGAATAAAAAGTATGGAACGAAGCGTTTTTCTCGTAAACTAACCACTTTACAAAAAAATAATTAGTGTAGCGTAAAGTCCAATTAAAATGTGACCATTTATCAAGAATAACATTTTTCGAAATTTTTTTTAGTTTTCGAGTTCTGGAAAAAAAATTTTTTTTTTAAATGGCAACCCACTATGGTAATTTTTTTAATTAAAGATTATGATCTAAAAATGACCTCTAATTAAACAGAATTGTTTTCTAGTCAGTACTTTTTTTTAATAAATTGTTAAAGTTGCGTTCCGAGCCCATCACGAAGATTTTCCGAACTTGAACGAGGGAGTCGTTTAATGACTTTGGTCATTGGAGAGCCCGGTTTTTGGTGCAGGTGCTTTGGGGTGGTTTGCGGATGGATCAAAAAATTTAAAAACAAATCATTTTCTTCTATTTTTAGTTCATTCGAAACCACCCCAAAGCACCTGCATAGAAATCAGCGCTCTCCCATGATGAAAAGCATGAAACAACCACTTCGGTTAAGTTCGCAAAATCTTCGTGATGAGCTCGCAACGCAACTTTAACAATTAATTTAAAAAAAGTACTGGCTAAAAAACAATTTTATTTAATTAAAGGTCATTTTTAGATCATAATCTTTAATTAAAAAAATTATCATGGTGGGTTGCCATTTAAAAAAAAAAAAAATTTCTAAAACCCGAAAACTAAAAGAAATTTCGAAAAATATTATTCTTGATAAATGGTCACATTTTAATTGGACTTTACGCTACACTAATTATTTTTTTTGTAAAGTGGTTAGTTAACGCTTCGTTCCATACTTTTTATTCACCTGGTATGTATTACGAGCATACTGGAAGAAAGTGTTTTTTCTTCTCTAGGTGGTAACCGTGGGAGGAAAAGATACATTTTCCTCTTCCTTGTAATAGAATTAACTATTATCCGCAAACATCACAAAAGTTGCCATTAAAACTAAATATCACAAGTGAATGTTTTCTGTTACAAATATATATTTTTTTAAGATCAGAAGAAAATCAGAAAAAAAAAAGAAAAATGTCACAGCCATCTATGATCCCATTTAAAAAAATACAAAATGTCTTAGCGGCTAAACAAATTACTGATTTTTTTTAACTTTCTATGTAAAAAAGTGCTTATAATGTATTTATTCCAAATCCGTATCTTATACAATAACGAAGATTTTGCTAAAATGTCTATAAGTCGAAAACCAAAAATGATAGCGAGATGCGATTTTAACCAATATTATTTCTTTAAAAAATGAGGCCAAAAATGTATCACTCGTTTTTTGGCTAAACCTCTTAGTTTCAGAGATCCCATATTCCAAAATTCCCTATCCAAAATGCAGCTCCCTGTACAATACATTATTTTTTGTTGTTTATACATGTTTATGAATCTAAAGTTTTGAAAATAAATAAAAAAAATACAGTCAGAGTTAAAGCAAACAATTTTATTTTCTTGTCTTTAAACGTTGTTAGAGTGATGCTTTTTTTAAAATTAGTTATTGACTGGTTACCCTTTTAACCAGATTTATCGCTCTAAGCTGTTAATTTAATAGTTCAGTTGCATACATGTCAAATTATTCTAAAGTATCATAGAATTTAAAGCCAACAGTAAAAGTAGATTGAACGATAAAAATGTATTTTATGCAAAGTAATTGGAGAGTTACGAGTGGGAAGAAAGCCGATTAATTCAAAAAATTATTTGGTCCCCAAAAAAAGCATCATTTGTTTTTTTCAAATCATTATCTAATATATAAATTGATTGGTATTAAGTAATATTAAAAACTGGGCGATAATATAATGGAATAATTTTACATCGCTGTCATCAGTGTGACCTAAAATGAATACACTTCGTTACAAAACAATTAAAAACTTAATTTTCTATTAATTAAAAAGTATAATTTTTGTAACAACAAATAAAAATTAAAAAAAACTTTACAAATGCACTTATTTACATTTTTTAATAGGAATTTCTAAAGAATTTTAATGTACCGAATTTCATTACCATTTCGTTATTTCCCTCACTAATGAATAATCATAGTTTTATTTCATGCACCCACATTAAAAAAAAAACTATTTCCTATTATTTTTTTAAATTTTGTAACATAATCACAAATAATAACAGTCTTGTCAACATCCCCAACTGTTTACATATGAACGGATTTTTAGTTGGATCAAGTTCGTTACAATAATTACAGTAATATAGAAAATGAACCAGTTAATTGTTATATTCTGTCGTGTTTAGGTACCTGAACGTAACATCAAAACTTCGTGAATGTATACAGTAGAATCCCCAGTGAAAGTAATTTTGGCAAATGGATGCATAGCCAAAGGCCCTCTCTACCGTAAGATGTATAAAAAGCGAGCGTCCATGAAGTGAAGTCACCATTTCTTTCTTGCTTCTTGACCATACACATACGCATATCATGAAGCACATCATTGTAAGTAAAATAAAAAAAAAACTTTTCAGTGTTAAATGTAGTTTACATTTCAGGTAGCGTCATTGATATTAGCAGTCGCTTGCACCGTCCAAGGAGGCGAGGCTGATAAACGCAAAAATGGAAAACGAGGTATCATTAGCTCATTTGGTAGTGGGGGCTCTGAAAAAAGTCAACAATCTGGAGGAAGCTATGGAGGTATTTCACTTGGAGGTCAGCAATCTGGAAGCATTTCATTTGGAGGAACTCAGCAATTGAGTGGAGGTAGTGCTCTTTCCTTCAGTGGAGGTCATCAGTTAGGTGGAAGCAGTATTTCATTTGGAAGTGGACAATCCTTTGGAGGAAATCAACAATCTGAAGGACATTTTTCGCTTGGTAGTCTTGGAGGAGGTCAATCTAGTGGCAGTTATGGAAGTAGCTTGTCTCTAGGAGAAGGTCAACAATCTGGGGGCAGTCTTGGAGGAGATCACTTGCAAGGAATCTCTTTGGGAGGACAGCAATTTGGAGGTTACAGCCTAGGTGGGAGTCAATCCGGAGGAAATTATGGAAGTGGCTCGTCTCAAGGAGGAGGTCAACAATTAGGCTACGGTCTTGGAGGAAGTCAATCAATTTCTTTGGGAGGACAACAATCCGGAAGCTACAGCCTTGGCGGAGGTCAATCTGGTGGAAATTATGGAAGCAGCTTGTCTCTTGGAGGAGGTCAATCAAATGGAATATCTTTGGGAGGACAGCAATCCGGAGGACACAGCCTAGGTGGAAGTCAATCTGGTGGAAGTTATGGAAGTAGCTCGTCTCAAGGAGGAGGTCTCCACTTAGTTCACGGTCTTGGAGGGAGTCAATCAAATGAAATTTCTTTGGGAGGACAACAATCTGGAGGCTATAGCCTAGGTGGAAGTCAATCTGGTGGAAGTTATGGAAGTGGTTTGTCTCTAGGAGGAGGTCAATCAAATGGAATTTCTTTGGGAGGACAGCAATCCGGAGGTTACAGCCTAGGTGGAAGTCAATCTGGTGGAAGTTATGGAAGTAGCTCGTCTCAAGGAGGAGGTCTGCACTTAGGTTACGGTCTTGGAGGAAGTCAATCAAACGAAATTTCTTTTGGAGGACARCAATCCGGAGGCTATAGCCTAGGTGGAAGTCAATCTGGTGGAAGTTATGGAAGTGGTTTGTCTCTAGGAGGAGGTCAATCAAATGGAATTTCTTTGGGAGGACAGCAATCCGGAGGGTACAGTCTAAGTGGAAGTCAATCTGGTGGAAGTTATGGAAGTAGCTCGTCTCAAGGAGGAGGTCTGCACTTAGGTTACGGTCTTGGAGGAAGCCAATCAAACGAGATTTCTTTGGGTGGACAACAATCCGGAGGCTATGGTGGAAGTTATGGAAGTGGTTTGTCTCTAGGAGGAGGTCAACAGTCTGGTTACAGTCTTGGAGGAAGTCAGTCAAGTGGAATTTCCTTGGGAGGACAACAGGCTGGAAGCTACAGTCTAGGCGGAGGTGGTAGCTCTGGAAGCAGCTTGTTTCTAGGAGGAGGTCAATCATTTGGAAGTGGAGGGTCAGGACTTGCAGGTGGTACCGGAGGGAGTATTGGGAGAGGCGCTACTGTTAGCACTGTAAGCCAAAGAGTACCAGTACCCGTACCACAGCCGTATCCAGTTACAGTAACGCGTCCCGTACCAGTCCCCGTGCCACAACCTGTCGAAGTACCAGTACCACGCCCAGTCAAAGTTCCCGTACCGGTACCAAAACCTGTCATTGTGCCAAGACCTGTACCAGTAACAGTAACCCGCCGTGTACCAGTACCAGTTCAAGTACCAGTTAAAGTACCAGTGCCACAACCCGTAGGTGTACCTGTTCCTCAACCTTACCCAGTTACTGTGCCACAACCTGTACCTGTTCGTGTACCACAAACTATCGTAGTCCCAGTGCCACAACCCATTTCAGTCGGAGGTGGTAGCGGTGGTTTCAGTTTTGGATCTGGATCCTCAAGTTTTGGAAGCGGAGGTTCTGGTTCCGGTTCAATTGGAGGTGGATCTAGTTTTGGACAAAGTTCCGGAAGTTTTGGAAGTGGTTCCGGCCATGCTTCACTCACGCTACAACCCATTTCAAGTGGGCAATCTGGATTATCCATCGGAAGTTCTGGAGGATTAAATTCAGGAAGTCAGGGATTTTCAGGTGGTTATGGAGAAAAAAACATTGACCTAACTGGATATGGGGGTTCGTCATCTATAAGTTATGGCAACAGTCAAGCAATTTCCTCTGGGGGAGATTACAAATACTAGAATGAAATTGTTTCTTTCATTTTTCATCATCACCCCACATACACATGAGCTGTGATAACTCATTTAATTTTTGTTACCGTTGTATTTTTTTACCCCTTTAAGCAAATAAAATTTTTTTATAAAAAAAAGAGTTTAGTTTGTTAAATAAATCAATAAAAAAACACAGATATTTACTTATTTATTGAAAAATATTCTATTTAATTAATATCACACAAAAGGCACACTTTACAAACCTATTTTGGTCCAAATTAAATTTAAAGCAATTCAAAAAATATCACACGTTTTATTTTTATCACCACACTTGACATTTATTAGTATTTGGATTCATTTTACTCCCGACGGGACATTGAAATGCTTGAGCAAATTCCTCCGAATTTTGTAACGAACCTATAACTCGTATCTTATTAGGAGAATGCTCGTCATACTCAATCTGATTTTCCAAATCATCAGGAGAAATTGTCTCACACCAAATCTAAAAACGCAAATTACAAATATTTCAAAAAATTAACACAAACCTACACTTCCAAAAGCTATAAAAAATAATTGATCATTCGTAAAATTCTCAAAACCTGGAAGTTTAGGCTCCAATCCGTTTCGGTGTACATATTTACGATAAGCCCAATAAGCGTGTCTAAGTCCACCATTATCGGCAATGTTTTCACCCAAAGTTTTCTTCCCTTGTACCTAAAATAATAACTCAAAACATTCACTCATTTTTAATACAAATAAATACATGTGACTCAACACCATCAACTGTAAAATTATCATACTGCTTGACAAAACACTCAATTTTTTCCTCAAACGTATGGATGGTTTCGTGTGACCACCACTCTTTGTAATTTCCAAATCTGTCATGTTTTCTCCCTGAAAAAAAAATCAAAGTCGTGACTAGATTATTAAATCCAATCCTTCAAAGTAAAAGTGATCTTTGTCCAACTTTCTTCCCCGTTCTTGCTAATAAAATGGTACAAAAGTATTTCTGACGCACCTTCATTGTCAAAACCGTGCGTCAATTCATGACCCAAAATCGATCCCATAGCACCATAGTTTAAAACTCTGAAGCAATAAAAGTTAATTAAACCAAAAAAATTTTAATATTAAACTCACTCTAATCCGAGATGGTAAATCGGAAATGCCAAAATTGCCATTGGAAGATCTAAAATTAATTTAAGTGTAATTTTTTAGGGTTTTTGGAACTTACTAATGGCATTGTTTGTAAAAGAATTAAAAGCGTTGACACTTAGAGGGTCAGTACTCCAATTTCGTTCATTTATTTTCCTCAACTCTTCCAATCTACTCGGAACATAAAGTTTGGTAAAACTCATCATATTGTCCAAATACGTATTATTAGCAAGCACAATCTAAAATGTACTAAGAGTAGTCACAAAAAATGAAAATTTGGCACAATTACGCCTTGATAGTAAGTTTCAAGAGCCCCCTTTTCCAACAACCAATCCGGATACCCTATAAAACTAAGCATATCTTTACTTTTTTCCAAAGTTGCAGTTTTCGTTTCCTTATCCATCCAACTTAGCGTTTTGACATGTTCGACAAAGGCGCTTTTAATATCGTACAACATTTGTTCAACCTGGAATAAAGAATAAAAAAGAATCACAAAAATTTGAATCATACCTTAGGTTTCGTTTTGTTGGAAAAAGTTTGATCCACAAGGCCGTAACTAATTGCCATCCCCATAAAACTCGTAACTAAAGCGCTACAATCCAAGGACCTACACCCAAATTAATTAATTAAAAATAATCAAGTCGATATTAAGCTAATTTTACCGCGATCTTAAGACAGCGGTGCCAGTATAGAACGGAGCCGTCTGTTTAACAATGTATTCAACAATTTCTGACGAAGTATTGATTATCATTGCAAAAACGGTCACCCACCACATGTATAATTCAAGATAAATATCCGACGTCGACAAAACATACGATAGAATCTTTGGTAGATAATCAACATCATTTTGACCAACAAACAAGAGATCTTTGTCGAAATCAATAGTAACGTTCGTTCCGGTAAACAAGTTATCTAAATATTTTTCCAAAATTTGGGGATACTCCTTATTAACATTGTTAAGTAAAATTTTATTAATTTTCGCTTGCAACTCCTTAATTTTTTGCGACTGCAAGTCATTTACCTCAATAGAAAAATTCGCGACTAGAGTGTCAATCTCAAATGTCATATTCAACAACACATCACTCGCTTGTTCAAGAACATCTTCATTAAGTTCTTTTGACAATACATCTCTATATATTGTAGACAAAACAAATTTAATAATATTTCCATTGGTTAACCTTCGTAACTCTTCAAGATTGGGAGAATTTTCCTCTCCGGTTTTCTTATCATTTTTTTTAAAAGGACTAAAATAATCTCGAATATAAGGAAATTAATTTAAATGCACAAACCTGGGTAAAGGACACCGTAGCCCAGGTACCCCAATATACATCACATTTTCAGACTGATTAAAAATGTTTGAATCAACCACAAACCCAATCAAGACATCCATAGCAAAAGTTTTCTTAATCACAGCATCCGATTTTAACCAATCAAATTGAAATTCGGCGATCTCTTCATCGGTTTTAGTCACCAAACTAGGAACTGAAGGCAGATCCGCTTCTTTTAAGTATTTATAAATCACAGATAATCCTAAATCATCCAAGGACTCTATAAAACATATTCCTTATATGAAACTAGCATTCAGAATCTTCAAACCTTCATCTATGCAAGACTTGTAAAAATTTCTAGCCTGCGTTATTGGCGAAGGTTCGTTACTGACTTCATTTGAAGTCAAAAACTCTTCAGTTGATAATAACACTTTTTCACTAACTGTTGCAAAGGTTGAAAATGATGAAAACCATCCGTGATTTGGATGTTCCTTCGACCAGCGCCCGCAAGTGTATTGGTAGAAATCATCACAAGGGTTGGTGGTTGAATCTATTGAAAGTTTCAAATTTGCTGCCGACTTGAGGCACTCCTCGGAGGTACAAATATTTAGGTATGTTTTTTTGTAGTCTGAAATGTCTGTGTAATCGCCAATACTCCGAATTATTAATTAAATAAAAACAATGGGTCTAATTTAAAAAAATATGTAGCGTAATTGTAACTCACAGTACGTGAATCAAATATGCAGAAACAATAACAAGTAAATACTGTGGTATTGATTGGCTATGACGTGTTGAATAAAGAATAGAATGGTATCAAACATAATCATATTCTTTTAAAATTAGAACCATCAACTTGAATTAAAACTTACACTGTACTACCAAGATTATGATAACAATCAGAAGAATGATAATTATAGCAATGAGTACTGCTGACAATATTTTGAAAAACTTGGGCTTCTTTAAACTGAAACATGATCATGAAAAAATTAGCAACTCAAAAATTTTACCAACTGATCTAAAGAATTCGGCGAAATTGCACGGCATTATACGACGAAAACCTCTACAAAAATTTGACTTAATTTTAGACAAACTGACACATTTGACAATAGGATTGTCATAGATATGCCATAGAATATTATGAATATACAGGGTGAGTCTTAACTTATAGGCATTATCTTAAGAAATGATAATGACGATAAGTGAAAAAAAGTTCTTGTAGTAGCGATTAAGACAAGAGTTTTATAAAGAGTTTAGAAATCGAAGTCGTAGTTTAATTTAATAGAACGAGATTTTTAAACTATAAAACTTGTGTTGTCTTCAACATTTTTTCCAACACTAACATTGAATAAGAAATTTTACTAAATTCAGAAATTGTTGTAAAGAAATTTTTCAAAGTAATGCCCAAAATGGACAAAGTGCCAAGATAAGAGTATTTTATAAGTTTACATTCACGACGTTTTTAATACAGGGTGTGCCAGAACTCGCGCTCCAGAGAAAAAAAGACCGTGTAAGGTAAGATACCAGGAACATAGAAAAAATGTTCAAAAAATTCTATCTATAAAAATTTCGAGGTCATAAGAGTTTAAATTTTACACTTTGACTATTTATTTCTGTTGGAAAAATAATTTTCCTAGTTTTTTTGCTACAGGCTATCACATGAGGAAACAGGGAAGTTGTATCCTAAATTGTAACTCTTGTTTAATGTTAATTGTGGCTTTTATTGGAACCTTTTTTTTATAAAAAAAAAAACATATACAGGGTGCGCCAAAACTCGCGCCCCAGAGAAAAATGCCATATAAGGTAAGATACCAGGAACATGGAAAAAATGTTAAAAAAATTTTATCTATAAAAATTTCTAAGTTATGAAGATTTAAAGTTTGCATTTTGACTCAATTTATTTCTGTTGGAAAAATAATTTTCCAAGTTTTTTTGGTATAGGCTATTAAAAAAGAAAACAAGGAAGCTGTATCCTAAATTGTAACTCTGTTCAATGTTATTTGTGGCTTTTATTGGCAAAATTTTTGTCGCTTTACTATATAATTGTAAAAAAAAACATATACAAGATCATCAGTATCATTAAATAGATATAAAAAATGTCAAATGTCAAAAAATAAGTGTCAAATTTTTTTGACAGATAGAATTTTTTTCATGTTCCTGGTATCTTACCTTACTGTATAAGATCATCAGTATCATTAAAGAGGCATAAAAAATGTGAAATGTCAAAAAATAAATGTCAAAATTTTTTGATAGATAGAATTTTTTTAACATTTTTTCCATGTTCCTGGTATCTTGAACTGTTTCTCTGAGGCGCGAGTTTGGACACACCTATAGAAGAGCGTATATTAACGGCAACATAAGAGGTAAGCTTAAATACTTAAATGCACACTAAACAGTTCCTTTAAAGTTTTCAATTTTTTTCAATTTAATTTTTTTTAAAGAACTGTTTTAATTTTTTGCAAATTTATTGCATTATCTCCGTAAAAAAAGTTTATTTTGCATTTTACTCATTATTGATCAAAACATTTTTCGTTCATTGTCAAATTAAGAAAGAAGACGTCTACCAGTATGTATACCTATTACCAAGCTTGGTCAAAATACAAGTAATGACAATTTTAGTATTATTTAAAATTTAGTAGTTCAAAGTTCAATAGTGTTTTTCTCATGCAATATCTTGCTAACTAAAAAACTATTACTACAACTTTTTTCACTATTCTTTATTATTAGACAAAAATTATCATTTCCTAAGTTTATGCATATAAGTTAACACTCACCCTGTATGAGTCTTACTAAGAATTTAACATTATTGTTAAATTGTATTATTGTTACTTTAATTTTTGTAATAAAACGGAATTGTCTTTATTGATATTGTCATTTATAATGTGTTGATATTACTGACTTATTAACTAAACTAATTACTTATTCTATTGACGATACATAATCATAAAATTGTTCATTTGTCTATTTTTTAACTAAAACATCTGTGCAATACGAAAAATTAAAAATACTAATTCGAAAGAAGTTCATTATAATACTAATGTTGGAAACTAATATGAAGATAAAGGTAGATGAAGTTTTTTCGAATAATACATAAATTAACAAAACAATGCAGAGTTTTATTTTTTTACACTTCTTTAAAATTTCAAATTAAAAAAAAATGTACAATTTCCAACAAATAGTCATTTTGTCTTACAACATTATCACGAAAAATAAACAGAAAAATGAATGTTGACTTCTCTAATGTTGGAATTTCTTAATTACGGTAAAACACAATCTCTTTCTGATTATTCTTAATAATTGTAATGTCTCAATAATATTTATTTTATTTCTTTGAAGAAAAATTTTTTATAAATAGAATTAATTGATCTAACTAGTACAAATAACACTTGAAGAAATAGGTTCAATAGTAGGAGTTTAGTTAATAAGTTTAGTAATTAAGCCGATGAACCCAGATTGTTATCCATTATTATAATCAAAATTATAATCTGTCATTCGGTTGACAACATTATTTAACAGAATTGTGTCGTTATCTACTTAATACTCTTTTTATTAAATTAACTAGTTAACTATAACAAAAAGGAAAAATTAGAATTAACTGTTCTAGTTATTTCTGTTTTCTAAGAAACTTTTTTGTGATACTTCTATTGAACCAAAATAAAAAAACTCTTTATGAAATTACAGATAAAAAAATCAAAATACAAAATTGGAAACAACTTTGAAGCTCTTTAAAAAATACAAATTTTTATTTGTACAAAATCTACATCTTATCTTCTTCTCTGAGAGATTTTTCGAAAATATTGCATAATTCTATCAAGAGTTTAAAAATGATGGGTCAATAATCCAAAAACACTTCTGACATACTTTGTTGATCGCACGTTAAATTTTTTTATCACGACACTTAATATAATAGTTCAACGCCTTTTTACACACAAAATCAAACCGTGCAAATTAATCTACTTACAACTTAGACCTAGAGTTTACTTCCACAAGATAATCATTCGCAGGCCTTGGCACTGAGGGATATCCTAGATAGAAAATCATTTATTTTGGTTCGAACACCCTTTTGGCCAAGAAAACGAAACTCACTTGTAATAGCAAAAGGTTTTCCGTTTTCATCTGGTTGGTATGCAAAGTTATCCATGTTTGTTGTCCACAAAACTACTAAGGGTGGTTTTACTAGACGCAAAGTGTGTCATGTTGCGCGCGAGGACTTTACCGGTAAACTACTCGTCACAGTTACTGTACCACTAATAAAACAAATCGATGCCTTCTGAATATCGATTCAAGAAATGTTTTAAACAATATAAATTATTTATACACTAATTACTTCCTTTTTCATTACGCGTACGTATGTGAATCACAATAATGGTTTTAATTGCTAATATATACTTGATTACCATGGATGTACTTTAAAAACCCATTAACGAGTTAAACCTTATCGCCACTGACAAATAAAGGTGTCATTCTGTTACAAAACACAAGAAACACAATTCAAATGCAAATATTTATTATTGAAAATTTTTGTACATTTTTCTAAGCTAAATAAGTTATGTACAATGAAATAAATAGCGATGATTCAATGGTAACCATGGCCGAAAGCTAATGGAGCTGGATAATAACTCTTCAAGATGGGCTGAGGCGCCAGAATTGTCTAGAATTATAAATAAATGTAATAATTCTTATTACTAAATCAATATCGAACATTACAATCAAACCTCACCAAAAAAGATAAAATAAAGTTCATGTGGTTAAAGTAAAATACAAACAATTTGTGTCACATCTATCGATTAGATTTTTTTCTCACTAGGTGCCTATGAGCAAACAATTTTAGCTCATTATTGTCAATCGCCTCTGAATAATTAATTTCATTCAAATTGGTTTTATTGAAGATGGCAATTTTATTAAACCCGGAAGTAAAACTATTGAATAAACTGAAATTTTACTATGGAAATGGATAAATTTTTCTTGATAAGCGTATTGTAAACGCAATGTAGCGTGACAAGGCTTCCATAATGCAATATTCACAATCGGTAGTTTCAGCTAGAAAGGATCATCAAAAGTGTGCCCAAGCCTAATTCAAAAAAAAGCTTAATATGTAATTGCTTCATTTATTTTTTATGTTTTAAAGAATAATCAAAATTCAGTATGGATAATTTTTCTTAACTACCAATTTAAAAAATCACCTAATTGAAGAGATTTTCCAGAAACAAGCTAGAAATTTATTTAATTTAAAAGATTGTACAAAAACAAGTTTAAATCGTCATTTTTTGCCCCAAATAATAACGATTCTGTTAGGTAAAGTTTATTTTTCAATATTTTAAATCAAAATTTTAGTTCATGTTCTTTGTAATTTTTTGGAAATTTGATTTTGCAAAATACGTCATCTAGACTATGATTTACCTTCACTATGGGTGCAGAATGGGTGATAGCCACAGTGGCGTAACTTGTGGCCGGAGCCACCGTTTTAATAACGGGCGCCACTGGTGCAATGGTCTTCACAACAGGAGCATGAAAAATAGGAGGTTGTGCTATAATGGGAGTTTTAATGATGGGTGCTGGGTAAATTGGGGGTGCAGCTACGATGGGACCAAAACCATGGAAATCATATCCAGGGGCTGCGTAGACTGTTGTTAAAATAAAACTTAAAAAAATCTATTCAAGTTTAGAGAAAAACTGAATTGTATTTTTGACTTACCACTTTAGACATTTTTGTAGTTTAGATAATACCAACTGAACGGAATTTTTCCCAGGTATGCTTTTATATAAAAGATCAGATATGGTATTGTCTAGTAGGGATGATTGGCTAATGCACCTTGGCGTAATTTAACGTAAGACATGTGCTATAAAATACCATAAGAATTCCGATTGATAAAGTACCACGAGTTGTGCAATTGGACGAGAGATTGTGATTTTCCTGAGTTTTAGATCGGAAGTTACTTAATTATTATTAAAATTGTTAAAAAATTCAAGGAAAACAATTATTTTTGTCAAAAAAGCGATTTTTACACTCATTTCGTATGTGACAAACCAAATTAGAAATCCAAGCCAGTTTCCTAAAACAGTAGCGTTGGAGAAATTATTTTATTCAGTTAAAAGTGTTATATAATTTTAAAAAAAATCCGATTTCATTTTGTGCAAGTGTTAATAGAAAAATGGATCGCTCAAGGCTAGGAAGAAGGTGCATGGACGATGGTTTGTGACTGGAATAATTTCCTTTCACCTTAGTAGTAAATCTGATCGAGATTTTTTGTCGATGGTCACAATCTAGATCATTTAGTAACGATATCTGCAATTGCACTCTTTCCCAAGAAGGCATTCTTTACGACTGATCGTCCCTTAAAGGCCTAATTAAGATTGCTAGGTTTTAATTAACGTTTTTATGTCATGTGCGTATTTAGAATTGATGGATTTCTGAAAGGAAAATAGAAATATTGATTTCCGTGACGTTAATAAGAATTTTAGGGATTGTAATTTATGACCTCTCCCTAACAGCTCCATGCAATATTTCTGTTTTTAAAAGAAAATCTACAACATCCAGACCAATCACTTTTATATTTTCGTTCATACAAATTACTCTGAAAGCTTTCTTATAAGTATTTATATTGTATTTCCTTTCGTTTGCACGAATTATTTATGGCTTAGTAATACCACTTTTCTGATTTTTTAACGTCATAGCTTGGACAAACAGATTGATCTATGATTATGATTTCCATTTTTCTTGAGTTTAACTTTCGCTTCTAAAGAAATTTCATAAAAAAATTATAAAACATTTTTTGCGGTACAACACTTGTAGAAAATTAAATCTTTGTAAAATTTACACAAAATTCTAAACAAATAAAATTAAAATAAAATATTTATTGCTCTCAACAACAATAGCAAATTAACTTTACAACATTATAAATTTTCTGCGGTAAGAATTATAGAACCAAATTTATTAAAAATGGAAATAGGAGAATGGAAAGATAGAAGTTTCTACATAGAATGATTTAGCCGAATGTATTCTTTGTTGCAATCTGAAAATTATAAAAAATAGTTTTTTCTTTTATCTGCATGGCAATATTTTTTTTTATTTTTTATCCACAGAACAATTTTATTTGAAAAGCTAATTTAAAGGATAACAGTTTTGAGCATTATTATGGCGCTACTTTTCAAATTAACGACTTGTCATGTGTAAGGTTTGCCTAACTTACCGGCATGTAATGTCAAACACCTAAATAAATTAGAATAGATTTTAAGTAATTAATTAAGAATTGATTTGTTGAATTTTATTAATTAAGAGTGATTTATAACAATGGCCACGATTGGCGCAGAAGTTGGCCAAAAAATGCGAGTAAGTAAATTCGTTTTGATTTTGCATTTTATTGTAGGTTATGTTTTGAATTTTTAATAAAAAAGCAATAATTTCTTCTAATTCTAGTCTGCGATCAAAGCCAAACTATTAGAACTGAATTGCTACGTTGGTAAGTATTTTATAATTAAAAATTATTGATTTACGCTATCAGAAACATCTTCTTTTTAGATGATGAACTTCCTGATTATGTTATGGTTATGGTGGCAAATAAGAGGACAAAATCGCAAATGAAGGAAGATTTACAACTGTTTCTTTCTAATAAAACTTCTACTTTTGTCGATTGGCTTCATATAGTATTAAAAAAACTCAAAGAAGTAACAGTTACAAACCCAGGTGAATACTAGTTTAAAACAATTTCATTTGTGATTGTATCATTTTTAGATGTGTATAAAAAGACGGCAAAACGAAAATCTGATGAACTGCCAAACGTTAATGTTAAAAAAGAAAAAAAAGAAAAGAAACCTGAGAAAAAAATTAAGAAAACTGAGTCAGAACAATCAACAGAATCTGTGTTCAAATCACTGACTGATGATTTACCTATAAGTGCAAACAGACTTTCCGAGCAACGAAAAATCATAATAATGAAAGAAAATAAATCTAACAAAAGTCGACAATTGATGCAAGACAATTTTGACATACCCCTACTTTCAGAAGTCAATTTGTCCACAGAAGAAGAATTAGAAGACTTGGAAAATAAGATAAAAAGTGTGAAGAGTAGGTTGGGTTTGCTAGTAGAGAGTGATGAAGAAGATTGTATCAAACTTAAGCCTGAGCCAGGTTGATACCTTTTTTGATTATTTTACTTTTCTTATTTTCCGATTTTTAGACGAGTTATTACCGCCTGAAAATGAAAATAAAAGAGAGACAAATGTTGGACTTACAACCACTGCCTCTACAGAAGCCACTCAATCAGTTAAGAGAACTGAACATTCTCGGATTATATTTAACAGTGAAGAACATGAAAATTCAGCTAAACGAAAATCTATTATGGATAGATTAGGGAAAAGGCGTTCCAATGAAAACGAAGAAGCGACTTCTTCAAAACGAAACAGATTTGAAATGTCAGACTTCAGAAAAGAGAAAAACTCGAAAAATAGGGATGATAGGAGGGATAAACGGTTTAAAAAAGATAACAATTTAAAAGAGAGCGTCTTGAGCCGACTTGGAGTAATGTCAAAAGTGTCAATTCCTGTGAAACCCCCTGAAGAACCTGAAGTACCATTTAAAAATCGTGAAGTACCAAGTGTGGTCAAAATTAAGCCAAGAGTCATTCCTCCTGACGCCCCACAAGCTAATAAAAATCTACTTTTGAAAGCTGTAGCTGAAGCTCAAAGGAGTATAGCCCAAGCACCAAAAGTTGGAAATAATTTAAAGGTACTTAATTAACTAAAAAAATTATCATTATTATCTATGATTTTTCAGCCTGAAGCTTTGTATACAAAAAAATACAAAGAAAAACTTGAAGATGAACAGTCAACTGGTAAAAAATTACCAGAAGTTGAGAAAAATAAAATAAAGAAATTCCTTCTCGTACCTGAGAACAGCAAAAGAGATGAAACTGAAGAATATATCCCAACTCCAATTAAGAGAGTACAGGAATCAACGGCTAAATACATCCCTAGTAGTAAAACGGACGATTCGGATGATAGTTCAGTTGAAAATGATAAAATTAAGCAACAATTTATAGTCACTTTGGATGGTATTGAGAAAACCAAATACAAAGAATTAATTAGTGAAGAACCAAAATCTTCAATCAAGTCAAGACTTGACAAAAAGAAATCACCTTCACCCATTGTTTTTGACAAAGTTGAAAGTACAATTAAGGGTAAACCAAATATTCCCGACAAACTACCCCTAGTCCATGCTTCACCTGCCGTCAAAAATAAGGAAAGGTGTAAATATTGGCCGTCCTGTCGACAGGGTGAAAAATGTGAATTTGTCCACCCTTCTACAACTTGTGAAAAATTCCCACATTGTAAATTTGGTGATAAATGTTTATTTTTACATCCAACGTGCAAATTTGGCAGTTCTTGTACTAGGAGAGGCTGTGTTTATAGTCACGCAGCTAAAGGGACAGGTAAATATTTAAAAATGTTTGATAATAATAAAATAATTTTTTTAGGTCCAAGTCCTGTGAAAATAGGAGGTCCTGTTCAAACATGTAAATTTTACCCCAACTGTACAAACGTCAATTGTGCATTTTACCACCCCAAACCTTGTAAATTTGGAAAGTATTGCAAAAACCAAGCAGAATGTACTTTTTCTCACACTGTTCCTAGTAAGAGTAGTCTTACTTGGAGATCAAAGTAGTAACCTCCAGTCGTATAACTCTAAACTTGTTTGAATATTACACAAATCACAGTTTTTCTGTCATAAATTATACAGAATTGTAACAATAGGTAGAGGATAAACAATGTTTAAAAATGTATTGTAGAATAAATAAGTGAACAAATTTATTTATTATCAGTTTCTTTCATTGCTTTTCCTAACAATCTTTTTTTTAACGCTTCAAGTTGTACTTCATTGCCATTATCATTGGCAGCAGTTCTGGTTTCATTGTGCACTTTTTCAGCTTCTAATGATTTCAGAATTAAAACTTCTCGCTTGAAAGTTACAGAGCGGCTGAAATTGAAAATCAATTTAAAAGACAATTAAAATTGATCAATTACGTAATCGCCAAATATTGGAGACCAACCCCTATCAAAGAAAAGAAAATACAAATGATCACAACTGTGCTATTAGGTAGCTTTGGAATTCCGTCAACTCCATAATATGAGCGATTTTCGTAATATTTATCTCTAGATTTGTTTCTGTTTACCCAAAACATAGGATCATTGTATGGGCTATAAAATAGAATTATAATCACAAAAATTCATGTTACTTGACGTACTTTCGTGTAGGTTGTTCATAATAAGTTTCATTATAATTTCTCCTTGTATGATTTTCAGGACTTGTCAACCCTAAATCATAATTCCTTCTACTTTCACGCTTACCTAATACTTTATAAGCCTCATTAATTTTCTGAAATCTAGCATGAGATTGTTCACTTTTATTAACATCTGGATGGTGCTAATAAAATTAAAATTATGTCCAGTTTCGTTGAAAACCAACTTACCTCTTTTGATAATTTTATAAAGGCACTTCTTATTTCTTTATCAGTGCAGTTTCTTGACAAGTTTAACACGTCGTAATGTGTCTGATAAAATCTTCAATTAAAAAAAGGAAAACAAAAATATTACATAACCTCACTTTTGAATGAATTCATTTTATTTGAAAACAATAAAATGACCTACCTGCAAGAATTGTGTAATGTGATTGTTTTTTGGGTTAGTTTTGAAAAATCGCTGCAAATTTTGCACAACATTGTCGAAATTTTATTTTTTTTACATTATTATTATTGTGATAGAAATTTTGACGTCTGATTGTGATGTAATCACATCACATCAAGGTCACATACGTCATGCTAAAGGTGCGTTCACCCATTTGGCTGTCCACTTATCACAATTTTCTAGATTATTGTGATAATTTTATTTTCGCAATAAACATTACTAAAAATGCAGAAAATCTTAAATACGTATAATCAAAAAAGTGCATAAATTTGTTTTAACAGCAACTGTATATTTCTAGAAAACTATGTTTATTTTTATTAATTGTAATTTAGAGGAAGTTTAACTATAATAGTGGCTCTGTTTGCATTTTCACGTCTCGGTATATACAGAGTGCGCCCCAGAGAAAAATGCCATATAAAGTAGGATACCAAGAATATGGAAAAAATGTTAAAAAAATTCTATCTATAAAAATTTCGAAGTTATGAGAGTTTTGCACTTTGACTCTATTTATTTCTGTTCGAAAAATAATTTTCCAAGTTTTTTTCCTACAGGCTATTAGAAGAGGAAATAAGGAAGCTGTATCCTAAATTGTAACTCAGTTGAATGTTATTTGTGGCTTTTATTGGTAAACTTTTTGTACCTTTACTAAATAATTATAAAAAAAAAACATTTACAAGATCATCAGTATCATTAAATAGACCTAAAAAAATGTCAAATGTCAAAAAAAATTGACAGACAGAATTTTTCAAACATTTTTTCCATGTCCCTGGTATCTTATCTTACTTGAATTTTTTCTCTGGAGCGCAAGTTCTGGCACAGCCTGTATAATATATTCATCATACGTTTCCGCCTTTGCTACTTTTGAAATTTTCCATGAAAATAAATTCAACATTTAGTATCCTACAGGGCGCTGAAAAAGTCAACTAACTTGTGGCAGTAGGTACACTTGAGTGTAAAAAAAAACGCAAATTGATTTTCCATTTCGTTTTTTTTTGCACTCAAGTGTACATCCATTATTGTTAACTAACACAAATACATATACATAAAGAAAATTCTTTTAATACAATTTTAAAAACAATAATAATAAATGGCCAACGTCTACCTAAATTATTTCTTTACCCTAAAACCAAAACCGATACAAAAATTCTTTAAAAATAATGTATGAATCCTTCAAATAAAAATAAAGAAAAGGAAAGAAACAGCACCAAAATATTTAGTTTTGATATCAAATTGCTTTCACCAATTTCATAAAAATTGATTACTCCATTTAAAATTATTGAAAACAATTTGGTGTCCTCAAACTTTTAAACGGTGCTATACTTGGTATGTTGGATTAAATCTTTGATCTCGAATCTCAGGTTACTCTTTATCCTCATCTTTTCGTTACACCCTGTATTATGAAACTATTAGGTATGAGTGAAATTTGAAAGATAATGTAACTTAAGAATTTGACAAAATGAATTTATGGTTACAATATGACTTGAAGACTTTTTTCAATATTTTTCTTGAGATTATTACTTTAAATAAAAAAATATAATTTTATTGGCGTTTAAATTGTGCAACTTGGTATAGAATTAAGTTAAGTTTTTTGACCTGGATAATAATTAGGTAATTTAGCAATATTTGAGTTTCCCATTTATTTACAATTTGTTATTTACCAGTAACAATGTAAGTGTTTTTTTTTAACTAATTTTATTTTTATAACTGTATTAGTCAGTTAGTGCTTGACTTTTGGAGTTCCTGTAGTTACGAAACTAAATTGGATAGTTATTTGTAAAGGTCAAATGTTGATAAAAAGTCCTTACCTTAGAAGAATTTGTATAAATTCGTTTAAATATGCGTAACCATTCGATTTCTCGCCAATTACTACCATTTTATATAACTCGAACACACTATTACGTAGATAAAATTGATATTTCTTACATAAGAAAAAGCAAGACATCAAACGTCAATATTTTTTAATAGACAGACAATAATGGTGTTATTGACCTCATCTGTATTAAATCAAAAAAGAGATACCTAGACGTATATTGACTTCACTTATAAAAAACTCTTGATCTGTTACAACAAAGGATGAAGAGAAGAATAAAAGACGTTTTATTTATTTAAAAACTTTTTTACATAATACATCAATGAGTAAAATCCATGTAAATATTTAAACAAACATTGTAGCTTCTCAAATCAAATAAAACCTAAACCACGTATTCCAAAACGAATACATCAAAAAAGAACAATTATCCACATTTGTTAGATAATTAATTGTCTTAAAACTTAAATTTCCAGAGGGAATGTGTTAAAAAAAAAAATGTTCCACAAGCACAGACACCAAGCAAATTGTGCGACTTTGGGAAACCAAAAGTGCAACTTGTGCCACGATTACACAATTCTTTGAGTATAGACGGTAACGGCGGCATGGGGTGTCTCTGGAGTAAACACGACTTCGCCATTAACTTTGTAGTCTTTGTAATTTAGAGAGTAAATGCATTCAAATCCTAGTTTCTTCAAAGCCCTTGCTGTGAAATGACTCGTGCAATCAGCGGTCATTATACCACAACCCAGTTCTCGGGCAAGGTCTCTACAAAAACCAGAAATAAATTACCTACCAAACCATAAAAGTTCACCAATAAAAACGTAATGTTTTCGGCGAAAATTTAATTTGCGGTTTTACGCTTTTCCGTCGAATTTAAAATAAAGCTCCCGAATTCCAGTTTAAGGTCAGGTCAGGGAGAGAATCCTCCCCCTCGAGCAATCATCTCCAATCACCAACAGAAATGAAATTCGAGGTTAACAAAGCGACTCTAACAAGATCGGAAAATTGTGTAAAAGCAAATTCGCGTGCGGAAAATTAATTTTCAAAGAAAAGCACGACCTTAACCTTACACTTAATGCAGACCTTGACCTACGATTTGACCCTTTTTCTTACCTAGTCCTATTCATCAGGTCCTTTGCAATCCCTCGGCCTCGCAGCGAACTATCCACAGAGAGGATTTTCACAGTCATGGCTTTATCCACGTCGGGAAAATGCGAGAAAATGTTTGACTCGACTGCAACATGGTCGAGGAGCCTCAAAATTTTCTCAAACTTCTTATCATCGCAGTTCGCTTCTTCAATCTCGTTCAAATATCCCCGGTTCAAGATACCGTTGAGACAAACCCCGATTATTTTCCCATTGGAAACCGCTTTTAGATTAAGTCCACTGTCCAAATCTTTGATGGAATACGACTCAAGCTCCGCACAGGTTTCCTTGCCGTCCAGAAGTCCAATACTGTGGTTCAAGGGCTCGTCCCGGATGAAAAAAGTCCTCAAGAACCTCAGGACTTCCTCCCTGTCATCCGCTGTGATCACTTCGATACTGAAGGGATCGACAGGAGGACTACAAGGGGTGGAAGGTGTCGAGGGGGTGGAGACTGAATCGACGGACTACAAGAAAAATATAAATTATTGCACTGGAGCTTTGAAAGCTCTCCATGGAAACAGAAGCTTCCCAAGAAGCTTTTAGGAATATGTTTTAACATTGTGGAAACACAAAATCAATACCATCTTTTTGCTCTTTAATTAAAAAGGAAAATGCAAGCGCTTGAATTTTCCAAGAGTGCCTGCAAGTAATTTTCAAGTAATGCAGCCACAAACAGGTATTGTTCATTTTAATTAAAATTCGAGGAAATGTACACAGAAACACCTTTGTGAGGGATTTAAATTGCTTTGCACTCGAGGATAATATATTAATAAATTAAATATGTTGTGTTTAACAATATCTCCAATCAGAAATAAATCTAATACAATTATCTAGAAGGAAAAAAAAGTTGAATCGTTTTCTTTTAAAAATTTTAAAGCAAGATCAACAAATCATCACTAAAAGTTTACTTGTTGCATTGATTCGCTATAACCTTGGCGGTTTCTGACAAGACATGATCACATATTATTCTAATTAGTGGTGTAATTGGAGCTTTAATTTATACGAGCAATAAACAAGATAAATAATTATTAGATAGATAATTATTAAATATCATTAATTTTTTGTAAGACATTGATTTGAAGATTAAATTTAGTCCCAAAAATATAAGAAACATGATAAATATTTAAAAATATATAACTCTAAATATATAAATAGCAGAATGGAACACAAAACAATTAACTACATTTTTTGAAATCAATAAAGAAAAAAAATTATATTTATGAAATGGTGCAATTTATAATTCACGCAGAGTGGAGCAGGACTGATTTTAATGCTTCATAAATCAATAACTTTGCAACAATTTATGCAAATACATTGTAACTTTTGATTTGTAAATATTTTTCCACGTAGCTCGTTTCAATTTTTTTGCATCTCAGAAATTGAAATGTTTATTGTTTACACATTGTTGACTCGACGCAAAATTAAATTAATTATTCGGTTAAATTAAAAACAAGAATGAAGTATTTCCTGTATTTTAGTAACTAGATCAAATTATTTTTAAGGAAAATGGAAAGTAACAAATACTTTCATGTTTTGTTCTGTATTTTAAAGTCTGCACAATATTATACAGTGGGTCCCCGAATAGAGGATTTAAATTTTTAGTTTTTGGGGTTCAGCCCTGCTTGGTTAAAGATTAATGTCTTACATAATTTTAGTTTTGAAAAATCAAATATGAGATTTTCAAAAAACTATTTTTCTGTTGAGTAAAGTGCCTTTTATGTGGCAAATACGATAAAAAGTTTTAATTAAAAAAAGTTGTTTAGAATCAACATCTAGGTCCATATATCAAATTTAAAAATCATCGGCCTACTATAGTTTTCTATTTTTTTCCAAAATAATTGCTTTTTATTAACAGATACGTCAAAAAGTTATTTAGTACTAATAATCCAAATGTAAATTTATTTTGTTTGTAATAATAAAACTGCTAAAAATAAAATTCTTTGATTTGTGAATTAATAAACATAAAAAAATTAAAACTTTTCTTAATAACGTTTTGTCGTATTTGCCACACAAAAGGCACTTAACTCTACATAAAAATAAGTTTTTTGAAAATTTCCAAGGCATTATTGAAATTTCAAAATGTTAGAAATTAGTCTTTACTCCAGCAGAGCTGAACTCCAGAAAATAAAAATTTAAATCAATTTTTTTTTTATCTTTTACAAGAGTCGTTTTACCTATCCGGGGACATACTATATATGTAGTAGCAATTTTAAGTATATGATTGAGGTGATATAATGTATGTGTTTTTTTTTGTTTAAGAAAAAAAATATTCTGAAAACAAAACAATATAAAGAATTTGTTGTAAGTAAATATTTTAAAGTTATGCATATTCATTAGCACTGTTGTGTTAATTTGTTGTATACATTGGCAAAATACTTTTACTACAATTCCCAAAACTCATTTATTTCATTGTAATGAATTTTGTTATCTAGAAATGTAATGAGTTAACAACAAATTCTTGGATTAATTGGTGAAAAATTCCAATCAATCAACAACACCTCTGAAACGAATGTAGACTCTCAAGCTCATCTAATAATGTTGTTTACGGTTTAATGACATTGATGTTTGCACGTTTTAAATTATTCATCTGACGCATTAGTATAAAAACAAAATGATCAATTGTGTTCGTCATAGTATTTTTTGAAGATTTTTAATTCTTCTCGTGAACTTCCTTAATGGGAATTTTCGCCGAAAGCGAAAATATCAACAAAATAATTAAAAACATTCACGATTTACTACAGTCTTGATTTAATGAATGAAAAATGAATCACTTTCTATCATCACTAATTCAGCAGAATTTTAGATCGGAAAGATAGACTTGAGAAAAATAAATATAGGACAAGTTTAATGATGTTTATACGTCCTTCGCATAAGTGTTGTAGGTCGTAAAAATCAAGTTTAGGCAAACATTCTCTAATAACGAAAATCAAAATTAATATTTACCACAAAATCAGTAAATTTGAGCTTTTCAAACTTCTCGGGGAGAATAAAACTGGGCTGCATTTGAACCGCCATGTCGATTAATTGTATACAAACACAAGCACTGAATCCTTACAACCGCACGAAAATACCCGGATTGAAACTGGCAAAGTTTCAGCGACTTCTGCTTTTACATCGCAAGCACTTTTATATTATATCCCCGAACCCTATTCAAGTTGAAAATCAGTATTGAGTACGCACGCTCGAGACGCTCGTTATTTTTTGTCATTTTCACGTGGAGATTTTCCCATTTATTATAATGAGATGCGAGGTGATTAAAGAAAACAGCAAAATGCAATTATTTGTTTTGCAGCTTGACGACATGTGTTTGATTGAGTTATTAACAGGTTTCGGCAACTATTTTTACAGAGATTCTTGGCTAATGTGTTGCATGTGTGAGTTTTAAACACTCCATTGTGGAAATACACCAAAAGTTTAAAACTACAGACTTTAGCAAACTATCAATAAACTGGTTTAGCTATTAAAACGTAATATGCATTACATAATAGAGCAATTATTTATATTAAATTATTTTAATTTATTTGATTGACAAGTTCCAGACAACCGCAGTTATCTAATGATTCAAAATCGGAACAAACATTCCTGCATTCAGATGAGGAAAAACAATGTGCAACTCGTGTCAAAAAGCCTGTAACACTTCCAATTTTTCCGATACTTTTGATATGGTAATTAAATAAATGATCAATTAGCATAACAATAATTGATCACCATATTAAATTATTCACAATTATTTTGTCTGCATTCTGGCCTTGATTCAGATCACCACAGCAGCAAGCAAGGTTGTAATGTAATGAGTAACGAGCCTTCAACTTAACCTGTCTCTTACGGTTCACTAGTTACACCCAAAAATAAAATTTTGCAAAATTTTATCAAGAAAGTTGTTATGTAAATGGCCCCAAGGCATGAATTTATTTCGAGTTTTTCTACGAGTTCTGTAAATACAAGGACACGAATTTACAAAAATGTAAGTCAAAAAATTTTTTATGAAAAAAATCTAGAAAAACCTTTCACTTTGGTTTATTTTAAATGTTTCAAGTTTTTTCTTAGCTGCTGGTGTTAGTGAACCAGATTTTGGATCGGGTCCATAATTTATTTCAGCTAAAACAATTAATGGTAAGTAGGTGGAATAACAGATCAATTTACAAAAGAAAAGCAAACCAGTTGAACGTTGAAATCTACTAAAAAGACCGTTACAAAAATTTGTTTGCGTCATCAAGGTAATAAAACGGCCAATTTATCATCCACTTTATTTTCAAAGGTAAATCCCAGTTGTAATTTTCTGAAAATAAAAGGTAACACAGCCATTACCTCGGACAACCGTTAATTCTTCAGAAAATCGATTAAAGTGTCGAGTACCTGACAGTGAACTTGAAGATTTAATGAGAGTAAGGAAGGACAAAGCGATTATTATAATATTGTAAATTGTTATTACGTAAAATTATAATTAAAATTATTAAAAGTTATGTCAGTTACTGTCACGAGATAAGTGCATTAAATTAGTTAAACACAGGAAATATTTTTGTTTTTAGATTTTGGCAATCGTAGAGTGAAAAAACACGAGTTAAGTGCAAATTTTATTCTTATTATTAATAAGTTTCGTCTCAAATCAATTATATTTTCCTGGTCTATAAATTTCAGCCTTGATAAAATAGCACGTGCGGGCCATATTTACAAATTGTCAAAAAATTCAAATTCATTTGTCTTAAAACATGATTTAGCCGGAAGGAATTTCTTTTTTGTAAATTTTTTACAAGTTTTTAGTAATATCCTTGATCTCTTGGACTGCTATGACAATCACAAAAAGGTGAAGGTGAAAATTGTATTATAGTCATTTTTGTAACCAAATGCATTTTTTTGAATTAGAAAAATTTAAATAGAGTGCGTATGTTGATGGTCTTGAAATGTAGAAAATAAATCATGTCTTAGAATTTTTTTTAAAAAAAAAGGTGTGTTGGAGAGAGGTGTGTGGCAACGTCACCAATGCAAACTTTATCTTTTTAATCTTAATATTGTTAGAAATACAATATTAATTATACTGTTACAATTTTATGCAGAACAATTCATTGATACATGACAGCAAATTACTAATTTACATCTCGTTGGCGAAAAAATTGTTTTGCTGAAAACCACTGAAGTGTTTCATGAACTTGTGGAAATAACCAGTCACTGTTTCCGTAACGTAAATTTTCTGTTATTTGGACCTTCAAAAATTAATGATATCCAAGAAATAGGCTGATCAATGTGAAAAACCACCCGTTTCTTGGTGCTCATTAGTGGTGGAATTACTTGAGAAGTCGTTAGAGTGGCATGTGGATTTTTTAATGTAACGGAAAGTTACTTTCCAAGACTTTACTGCAACAAAAACTAAGACGATTTTTTCGTTACGATTGCCAGGAAAGTTTGCACACAGGCAGTTTGCCAATGTTACTCCAACTCTGATTTTCTTAAAACAGCAATTTGCGTATTTGAAACACGATTTTACTTAGAAATATTGAGACCTGTGTCATTGGCCGGAGACCTAACTCTACGCATTAACGACGAAGTAAACAAGATAGGTGTTTTCTTAGTATATTCATTTGACCCAACTTCAATTTCCTTAAATGCACTTGGAACTTAATAATATTTTAATTATAATCATTAAATAATAATTTATTATGCTATAAAACAATCATATTTTGGAATAAAATTAAACAAAATGAAATAATAAAATAAAAATGTGATTTTTACGAATGTCCATCTCATGGCTATGAGATTTCTTATTTATTAAGTGGACTTGTAATTTCCAAGTAAGTCCAATATTAGCCACATTGTGCTTTAGTGAATTTAGTGGAAGTAACTTTTCCGTTGTCGATTCAATTTATCTCTTTCTTACTCAATATTTATAAGAAAAACCTTGATTGCAGTCTCACAGAAATGGCAAAGAGACTAGAAAAATAATGAGTAGGCATAAACATTTATCTTCTTCTAACAAAAGGAGTGAAAGGAATGCTTTGTACTTTATTGATTACCTTGTTCCACTTAGCTTATTAAAATTGTTTGTTCAAATTTATGACCGTCCTATGACACTTCTAAAGCGATTCAGCGCTCTTTCCGCACGTTCTGGATAATTGCAAAGCTTTGTCGATACCACCCCTAGCACTAGAAAGTTGCAAGCTCACTTCAAGTCGATGGAAATTATTTTTTGATAAGCTTAAAACCATTACCACTTATCTCAATATAATTTACAATCAGTCATTTTCTAGCAATAATAAATTGCACTCCACTTAACATCACCTAAATTGTAATTAACGATATCCATAGATGCTTGCTTTTATTTCATTGTCACTCATTTGTTTGACTGCAATGAAACTTTGCACATTTCATCCTAAAGCTCCGGATTAATTAACATCTGACTAGCGAAACCGACAAGTTTAAAGCTCACACAGTCCGATATTAAGTTTCAGGCTGGTAAGAACTAAAATACAGGGCTGCGCCAGAACTCGCGCCCCAGAGAAAATTTTCAAGTAAGGTAAGACACCAGGAACATGAAAAAAATGTTTAAAAAATTGTATCTGTCAAAAAATTTTGCCATTTATTTTTTGACATTTGACATTTTTTTATATCTATTTAAGGATACAGATAATCTTGTATATGTTTTTTTACAATTATTTAAAAAAAGACAAAAATTTTGCCAATAAAAGCCACAAATAACATTGAACAGAGTTATACAATTTAGGATACAACTTCCTTGTTTCCTCTTTTAATAGCCTATAGCAAAAAAACTTGGAAAATTATTTTTCCAACAGAAATAAATAGAGTCAAAGTGCAAACTTTAAACTCTCATAACATCGAAATTTTTATAGATAAAATTTTTTTAACATTTTTTCCATGTTCCTGGTATCTTACCTTATATGGCATTTTTCTCTGGGGCGCGAGTTCTGGCGCAACCTGTATTTCTGAAACGATGTCTGGAGACATCTCGACTTCATTTGTCTTGTGCGTTGTAGAAAAAATATTAATTACAAAAATTAATAATTTGGAGGCGTTGAAATTTCACATTGTAAAGACGTTTATAATTAAACTGCTGCTCATACTTGGATTCTAATAAACACCAAATAAACAACATATTTTACATAAATATGTTTCTAGACATAGTCGGACTCTAAATTTGATGAGTTCTAACCACTCTGCTGTTATTTCAGAGATTCCAAGAAACATGAGATTAACGTCAAATTATCAAAAAAACTTACAATTTAACGATCAAGATAATAATATACTGCTTGTTTCCTAAATTAATTTTTCTCGAACTGTATCAGTGTCAAAACCACAAATATAATTAAATTTCAACTATTATACAGAATTTATTGAAAAAAAAAAACTTAATAGACTTTGATCCTTGCTTCTTTTTTATTATTAGAATATTTTTTAAGAGGAAATATTTAAAACAACAAAAAGGACCAATATTTTGAAATAGTATACTAAATTTAAATAGCTATAAAGACAACTAGAGTTTTATAGACAGTTGAAAAATCGAGGTCGTAGTTTAAATTCAAGCTACCGGGGGGAATGAGAATTTAATAGGCTGAGATTTTTAAACTATAAAACTCGTGTTGTCTTCAAGACTTTTTGCAAAACTAATATTGAATCAGAAATTTTACTAAATTCAGAAATTATTATAGGTATAATATAGAAACAGTAAAAAGTATTAGTGTTGCAAAAATATAAATAATATGGGTGGTCAAATGAGTTAGCAAAAGAATTTGGAGACTTTTTGAAATATACCTAAGTAATTGACAAAATTTTTTGGAGAAGTAAAATCTCTGTTCGTTTCGTAAGTTTATTTAAAGTGACGAAATTATTACGAAAAAACCGACTTGTAATGAAAATAGTTATTTTTGTTACAAGTACCTAAAATAGAGTTTTTGCGGACAAATCATTGTCGGACGAGGCGAAGTTGCGGAATTAAAATTTCGGGCATATTTTTCTGTCACTTTAAAAAGTTCACAGTAAACTACCTTTTATTGTCATCATGACTCACATTTGACAATTAAACTTTTTTTGTTGTTGTTAAAATTGTTAATTAAACAATTTGTCTGTCTTAGGAAATTTATTAATTGAACTAAGTGTAATTAAGTCAT